AGGGCGAACAGGTGGCCGTTGTCCGGGTTGATGGACACCAGGGAGGCCAGGGGCACGTGCGCGTCGAGGGGCGGCAGCAGCGAGTAGGTGACCTGGGCGTTGGCGCCCTCGTCTCTGTCTGTGGCGCGGACGCTGCCGATGTGCAGGGCGGGGCTGTTGTTCTCGCGGACGGACAGGGTGTAGGAGGTCTGGGTGAAGGCGGGGGAGTTGTCGTTGACGTCGGACACCAGCACGGTTATGTTGTGCTCGGTTTTCAGTCTCGGTGTCCCCATATCTGTGACGGTGATAGTGATATTATATTGGGCTTTACTCTCTCTGTCCAGCGCCCCATTTGTTACTAGGGTGTAGAAATTCTCCGCAGATGGTTTCAGGAGGAAGGGGAGATCATCCTGGATGGAGCAAGTCATCCTTCCGTTGTCCCCTGAGTCTCGGTCTCGAATCCTAAACAGGGCCACTTCTGTCTCGGGGGAATTTTCAGGAATGGGGCTGGTAAGTGATGAAATAGTTAGTTCTGGGGAGTTATCATTAACATCCATCACCTCAATGGAGACAGAGCATTTTCCAGAAAGTCCCCCACCATCAGACGCATCTATATACAGCTCATATGAGGATATTGTCTCAAAATCTAGTTTTTTAAGTAGTCGAACTTCTCCTGAAATGCTGCTTAGCTCAAAAGTTGTGCTTATCTCTTGAGAACTATAAAAAAGGGAATATGATATCTCTCCGTTTGTTCCAGTGTCCAAATCCCTAGCGGAGACCTTGACAACTAGGGTGCCTACAGGACTGTTCTCTGGGACCTGCACCTGGTAGTGCGTCTGTGCAAACTCAGGGGCGTTGTCATTAACGTCCAAGACCAAGATTCGGACCTGGGCGGTGCCAGACCTGGGCGGAGAGCCGCCATCCAGCGCTGTGAGGGTTAATCTGAGCTCGGCCTGCTCTTCGCGATCCAGCTCTTTGTCCAGCACCAGCTCTGGGTATTTCCTGCCGTCCCCCCAGTTGCGGGTGGAAACATGGAAGTAAGAGTTGTGACTGATATTGTAGTTTTGGATGTTGTTTTTGCCCACGTCCCAATCCTGGGCTGTTTTCAGAGGAAACACGGTCCCAGGAGGGCTAGTCTCTAGGATTTTCAGCGTCATTTCTCTTTCAGGAAACTCAGGAGAATGATCGTTTATGTCTCTCACCAGTAGCTCACCTCGAAATACTCCCAGTGGTTTTTTCAGTAACACTTGGAAATGCATTACACATGGATCTGTGGGTCCGCACATCTCCTCCCGGTCCAGTTTCTCACTTAATATCAACTCCCCAGTCTGTAGATCAAGCTGCAACCAGGGTTCGTTGTCCTCGGAGACCACCCGGGCTTCTCGCGCAGCTAGCTCCTCCACTCCCAGCCCCAGGTCCTTAGCAAGATTGGCCACAAAGGAGCCGCTCTCAGTTTCCTCCATCACGAAATAGCGACGGGATTCCCAGCCTGCAAGAGCCACTCCCAGCAAGAGAAAGAGAATCAGGACTTGCCTTTGTTTAGGAAAGCGCTCCCCTCCGGCCTCCATCTTTACTCCCACAAACGCCTTTCCAGGAACAGGGGCCAGCTCTATCTTGGGTAGCAATGGGACTGAGACACTGGTGAATCTCCCAGTGGGTAACCTGTCCAGAAATGTCGGCGAGCAGCATTCCCTGGAGTTTTTGATGCTGAGCTTTGCTTACAGGTTTTTCTCTTCCGCTGGAGATCGGAGGTAGAGTTCGTAGCATTTACTGGGCTTTTTTTTTTTTTTTTTTTTTGACGTCTTAGCCTGCAGCGCCATCATGCGTTGTTTTCGAAAAGAATTGCTGCAATTGCATTCTCTTGGTATATAATAATCTAGATGGCTATTGGAGTTTGGAAATGGTTTGGGGGAGATGATGTAATCAGAAAACCATGCAATTATAACTATTCATTCCTTCATTCAAAGGAGTGTGACTGATATCTATGTACTGGGCTCTGAAATACATCAGTAAGCAATCCAGACATTGTCCCTATCTTCTAGAACCTGTCGTCTGGGTGGGGTATTCTGAGGAGAACTGAGAAGTGAAAGAAGACTTAAAAGTGATCAGTCATCTTGTAAAAATAACAATATATACCTATGTGATTTCTTAAAGTTCTCTCAGCAAAAAGTTTGAATTCCTCTAGATTTCCTTTCAAATTCTAGGCACCCTATGTGCCAGAATTGTGGTTTCCATTGGTTGAATCACATCAAGGAAAAAGCTATTAGTTCATTCCAATTTATAATACCCTTTCTATATAAGGTCAGAGATTTTATAATTTTATGAAACTTTCAAACTGTGAAAAAATGCATATGAGGGCACTTCCCATATCTCTTCCTGCTTTTTCTCCCTAACATTGGTCACCATCTTATACAGCATATATGTACACGTTTAATTGTTTCTTTTCTGTGTCACCCTTGAGTTTAAGAACTTTGTTTTGTTCACTTCTACATCCATCAACATCTACAATAGTTCCTGGCACCTAGTAGATACTCAACAAATATTTGTTAAATAGATCAATGAATAAATTAATTTTACAATTCTGATAGATGGATTCTCCTCCTAATGTAGAAGCCCCCTGTTTTGCTAACATCCTAGTTCATTGTATGAGCTAAATAAACAAGACAGCATGTTCTCAAGTGACTTTTTTCTATGCTCCTTTGAATAGTAATTTGAAATAATTCAAAATGATCTAAAATGTTTTTTCACTGAATGACAAAATACCCTGGTTCCCCTAAGCAAAGGAATATATTATAAAAAAGAAAGAACATAATAACAAGGCTATAATGAGCCTACAAATAAGGCATACATCTCTTAGAACACATTTTACATTATCAGTGTTATTTTGCAGTAAAGCTATTATGACACTAATGATATTCAAAAACTCTTATATAGTAGAATTTTCTAAGAATTTCTAATTTCTATTAAACACTCCAAAGACTGTACAGTTTGGATATATCCATCAATTCTTCTCAAAATTGTATATTCTAACAAACGCTTGTTCTTGTCCCTTACAGACTACTAATATTCCACCACCTTTTGATCCTAAATATTACATTAATATGAAAACCACAATTTTTAACAAATTAATAGTAAGGTCCAATCCATGCAAGCATATCTAAAAGTGCTTTTGATAAGAGAACAAATCCACTTAGCTATCTTATTTAGAGGGAAATTTATTTAAAAACTTCATATTTATTTCCAAAAGCTCAAGAGAGAAAGTACATTTGGGAGTGACTGGAAAATCCACAATGAGGCATCTCCTTCCTTTTTGTCTCTAGGTAGATTGGCTTTCTGTGCTTCTTTCATGTATTTAGCCAACATGGTATCACTTTCTTGCTAAGTTTCTAACAGAGATACTATAACCAGTTTCTAAAGTCATTTTTTAAAGCATAGATAATGAGATTGGGTCAGTTTGGATCAGTAATGTTTACCACCTTGTCTTGTTGTTTGAAATCACAGAGGGAGATGGGTCATATAAAATAAACATGGCTGCAACAGTACATTTTTACTGAAGAGAGAAGCTTCCAGAAAAAGATGGGGTGGGCTAGACAGACACCACAAAAGGAATCTATTATTTAAATATCCTAAAGTAACCTAATAATCTTTCAATACTACTCATATATTATATACTGCAGGTTGATAAAAAAAAGAGAAAACACCTTTAAGTATAGGATAAATTGTAGTCTTTTCCATTTAATACTACTGTGAAACAAAAACATGCCGTTTTTTCAGATATTTCTCCATTTAAAAGTTTAAGATAAGGAGGCATAATATCAGATTAAACAGAAGATTTACTAATAATTCATTATATTTGTATCATGCTCATCTCCTAAGTAACCACAACATCAAAAATTTAGAAAAAGTTTCTGGACAACAATCAGAGAATGGGTTTGGGGTCATCTTCAAATCAATAGTGCTTGATGATGAAAAGTTGAAAAACTAACAAATATTCATGACTTTTCAGTAATGAAGTAAAATTGAAAGTTCTTTGTCTCCATCAAAATAGAAATAATAGAGTAAGTATGAGTATATTCTCAAATAAAATTTCTAATCTCCTTAACTAGCAAAATGAAATCAGAAAAAAATATATCAAGAAATTCTTTATGGCCCAAAAGGCTAATGGAAACGGTATATTTAGAGAAAACTAACTTTCATCCCGAATGCTCTGAAAAACCAAAATATTCCTAATTGAATCCAAAACCATTTATAAAGTTTGAGTTTTCCTCTACATCATTTACAGACTCCTGGTAATTGGAGGCAACAGACTTCAGAAAGTTGAACTCGCTGGTCCCAGAGCCCCCCTTCAGACACACCTCGTACTGGTAGCTCTGGGACAGGGTCCCCGTGCCGCTGACGTCCACCAGGTGGCCCGGAAAGGGGCCCTCGGGCATCGAGCAGCGACCCACCGAGGCCGCCCCGCCCCTCCTGCACAGCCGCACCACGACGAACACCAGCACCGAGAAGACGAAGAGCGACGACACCGACGCCAAGGCCACCACCAGGTAGATGGTGAGCGGGGCGGCCGGGGCCGCGTCCACCGCTTCCGCTTCCGGGGCCGGCAGGTAGGGCTGCGAGAAGCCGTCCACCAGCAGCACGTGCAGCGTGACGCTGGCCGAGAGCGGCGGCTCGCCGTTGTCCTTGACCAGCACCAGCAGCCTGTGCTTAGCCGCGTCGCGCTCGCTCAGCAGCCGGGCCGTGCGCACCTCGCCGTTGTGCGCCCACACGCCGAACAGNGTCCTATTTCTGATTCCCTGTATAAGTAATATCACATGGTATTTGTCTTTGTCTTTTTGACTTCCTGCATGTAATATGATAATCTCTAAGTCCTTCCAGTTTGCTGCAAATGGCATTATTGCTTTATTTTTTACGGCTCAGTAGTACTCCATTGTATACGTGTACCACATCTTTTTTTTCCAATTTTTAAATATTATTATTATTCTACATCTTTATTGCAGTATAATTGCTCTACAATGGTGTGTTAGTTTGTACTTTATAACAAAGTGAATCAGTTATACATATACGTATGTTCTCATATCTCTTGCGTCTCCCTCCCTCCCATCCTCCCTATCCCACGCCTCTAGGTGGTCACAGAGCGCCGAGCTGATCTCCCTGTGCTATGCGGCTGCCTCCCACTAGCTATCTATTTTACGTTTGGTAGTATATATATGTCCATGCCACTCTCTCACTTTGTCACAGCTTACCCTTCCCCCGCTCCATATCCTCAAGTCCGTTCTCTAGTAGGTCTGTGTCTTTATTCCTGTCTTACCCCTAGGTTGCTCATGACATTTTTTTTCTTAAATTCCATATATATGTGTTAGAATATGATATTTGTCTTTCTTTTTCTGACTTACTTCACTCTGTGTGAGGGACTCTAGGTCCATTCACCTCATTCCAAATACTTCAATTTCGTTTCTTTTTATGGCTGAGTAATATTCCATTGTATATATGTGCCACATGTTCTTGAACCATTCATCTGTTGATCGACAGTTAGGTTATTCCCATATCTTGGCTTGTGAATAGTGCTGCTGTGAACATAGGGGTGCATGTATCTCTTTGAATGATAGTCTTGTCTGGATATATGCCAAGCACTAGGATTGCTGGATCATAATGTACCTCTTTTTGAACTTTTTGGAGGACACTGCTTATTGTTTCCTCTAGTTGCTACACCCATTTACATTCCCACCAATAGTGCGGGAGGGTTCCCTTTTCTAACACCCTCTCCAGCATTTGTTCTTTGTAGGCTCTTTAGTGATGGCCATTCTGACTTGTGTGAGGTGATACCACTTTGTAGTTTTGATTTGTGTGTCTCTAATAAGCAGCAATGCTGAGCATTTTTCATGTGTCCATTGGCCATCTGGAAGTCTTCTTTGAACAAATCTCTATTTAAGTCTTCTGCCCATTTTTGGATTGGTTGTTTGGTTTGTTTGTTGGTTTGTTTTGAGTTATATGAACTGTGTGTATATTTTAGAAGTTAATCCCTTGTCGGTCGCATCGTCTGAAAACATTTTCTTTCATTCTGTGGGGGTTTTTTTTTGTTTCGTTGATGCTTTCCTTTGCTGTGGAAGAGCTTATAAGGTTGATTAGTCCCGTTTGCTTATTTTTGCTTTTAATTCTTTTTTGTTGGCCAGCTGATCTAAAAAAGCATTGCTAGGATTTTTGTCAGAGGATGTTTTGCCTATGATTTCTTCTAGGTGTTTTATGGTGTCATGTCTTTATATTTAAGTCTTTAAGCCATTTTGAGTTTATTTTTGTGCATAGTGAGAGGGAGTGTTCTAACTTCATTGATTTACATGTGGCTGTTTATCTTTCCCTATACCACTGACTGTAGAGACTGTCTTTTCTTCATTGTATATACTTGCTGCTTTGTCAAAGATTAATTGACTGTCAGTGTGTGGATTCATTTCTGAGCTCCTTATTTTGTTCCAGTGATCTATATGTCTGTTTTTGTGGCAATACCACACTGTGGGTTTATTTTTTTTATTGAATTGTAGTTGTGTTACAACATTGTGTCCATTTCTGCTCTACAGCACAGTGATTCAGTCTTATTGACATATATATTCTTTTTCATATTCCTTTCCATTACAGTTTATCACAGGATATTGTATATAGTTCCCTGTTGTATACAGTAGGACCTTGTTGTTTATCCATTCTGTATATAATAGTTTGCATCTGCTAATCCCAAACTCCCTGTCTAGCCCTCTCCTAGTTCCTCTCCTTCTTGGCAACCACACTTCTGTTCTCTGTGTCTCTGAGTTTGTTTCTCTTTGCAGATGAGTTCATTTTGTCATGTTTCAGATCCCACATATAAGTGATACCATATGTATTTGTTTTTTTCTTTCTGACTTCCTTCACTTAGTTTTGGGAAGTGGTACTGGGAAGATGTTTTCCATACAGTGTTATGGAAAGAGTGGAACGAACT